ACAGAGTTAGGTGAAAACAGATGATTCGCTGTGGCGCCCCCTAACGGGAACAGCCGAAAGAAGAAGAAGAAGAATGTAGATAATGGTGATACTACATACAGTATAAGCTCATTCAGTATCTTACTGGAATTTTAACTGTTACTACACATAGATTTTAGATAGATACAAATAGATTTTATATTCTGTGAATATTAATGAACTTAAAACAATTCAAGATAATCAAAGTGGTGTTACTACTTGATCTTACCACATCTCTGCATCTAGCCCCTTGAATCAAAGACAGAATCCCATGAGCTCCAGACACATAGTTTAATGTCTCTGAGTGACAGTCATTGAGATTTTTCAGGACCTCCTGAAGCTTCGGTATTTCTGTAGAAACAACAAAGTGCAGTTTGTACATTATACACTCCGTCATTTTAAAGTAAACAAAATACGTATTAGAACAACATATTTTCTGTCATAGACTTCACCTACCAGTTTCATCTCTGTCTAGAACTGTTCCTTTTAGAAACTCTTTGGAGCTCACTGTGAACACTTTGAAACATTCATCACTGAAATGTTTCTGGAAAAAAAAAGTTTGATCTTAAGGCAGGTTTAGTGTTGTACACAATATTTGTATTAGATTTTTTATCAGTCTGTGTAACTCACCTTAATGCTGTCTTGTCTGCTGAATTTTCTCTTCACTTCTTCTTTGGCTCTCTTGTTTGTTTCAAGTATGAAATCACGAACATTAGCTGCTGAACTTTAAGAAAAGTTTTGTATTAAGTGGCACCTCATACAGTCTCATTAGGCATTCATCTATTACTGGGAACTTTAATGTCCAGCACTGTGCAAAAGCTTTAAGAACTTTAGAGGTTTACATGCTTGTTCATAATACAGTTCCAACAGGGGGTGTCTGATCAATACCAAATTAATTCTGCAGCAAGACATCGAGCCCAAACATACAACCAGAGTCATAAAAGTAACTATCAGAGCTAAGAAAAACAAGGGGTCCTTCAACTGATCACAAACCAACAGACTACCCACTGCAACTGGAGTTTTAGTGAGAACTGCAGCTGAAGTTTTCCCATGTGTCCCATCACCTTGGGGGGTGGGGGGCATTGTACGTATAAAGTGTCACACTGGAACAAAAACCCATTTTACTAGTACTGTAAAATATATGCACATTTGCTTGTGTTTAGTCCAGAGACATTTGTCAGTGTTTTATTTGGATGTTATACTATGTACTTGTGGCATGTTAAATCACTTACTGAACACCCACGTCATCAGACTTGGTGCAGATAAAGTGAATGCGCTGACACTCGCCACCATTTCCCATGAGGCTACAGGCACTTTTCAGGATCTCCCAGGGGTCATTCTCTGACTCTGCTCGACTAATGTCAGTCACAATCCACATAGTAGAGCAATTTCCAACAAGCTGAAAAGGAATAACAGTAGGTTTCTTATGAATAATTATCAGTCATTTGTAATAACATTGTGTTAGTTTTCAGATACTTTGAATACACAACAAACAGCAGTACATGTGAATAAATTACCTCTTTCCACATTCTATCTCTGCTCCTGTTACAGTCCCCAGTTCCAAGAAGATCGACAAGTGTGACATGCTGGAGAAGATCATTACTAGGAACCCTCATAATCACACACTTCACTAGTGGCCAATACCACCTCTTCACTTCTTTGCCTTCTCCTTGTTTTCGGTCACTTCTTGTGAATTTGACAAATTCTGCAGATAATTCTTCAGCCTGCAATAAAAGGTAAAATAAAATTTAGGGAATTGAAGGTGATTATAATTATATAAATGTCCAAAGTGCTTTTCAAGTTGCACAGATTTTAATTTAAAAAAGAGAATTTAATCACTATCACTGAATGAAATGTTACCAGTACATCAAAAATAGGTGAACTGTAATTCCATAGTGTAGACAAAAGGTCAGTTTTGGGTGGCTGTCATCAAAGATCAGAATTAAACATGATTGTATTTCAACAGTGCCTATGTTGGACGTTATTACAAGTGAAATAGAAAAAGCATATTAGAAACACAGCTAACTACATCTCAGTGTGATGCTGTAGGTGGTAGTACGTTATTTGACATGAACACTGCCTCAAGCAAAATTTCTGTGTCATTTAGGACCTTAATAATGTTTAGGTACAATGTAATCTGTCACAACTGTTATTTAGATTTATAAAGGTGCAGATAGACAGTGTTGTCAGTGATTTTCCTATAAAGGGATAATTTGATGTGTCTCTAGTTACTGAGCACAGTTACATAAAGTTCACTGTTGCTTTTCAAAAAGTACATTTGATATACTGCTTTTAGTTTTACATGTTAAATGACTGTTGAACTAAACCAAAATAGAATGACTAGGCTAAAAACCTCAGATCCATATCATTTACTCAACAGGCAAGAATGTTTTTTATGAAGTGATGCAAGTAAGATGTTTTAAAATCTTACTTACAGATTTACATTCCAAAATCTTTGGCTTGGATTTGAGAAATTCTGGAATTTCTCTGAAATAGTTATCGTCCATCAGGTTTTCGAGGGATGTGTTTTTCCAGTTTCTTCCAGTATCTTCTCCATACAATGCTGACAGCTTTTCAACAGTGTTACAATATTCATCATTGTCTTTTCCTTGATCTGTATCATCCCCAAGAATATGGTACAAGGACCACAACTCATCTTTCCACTCCTAAAAAGCAAAAGAATGGTTAACTTAATTTAATTAAATGGCATGTAGAGTAAACAAACAAATTGTATTTTTGTGGATATATTGTCACTTTTCAACCAGCTTCAAGTCAACATAAACATAATCAGCTTATTTCACCTCTTTTGTAATGAACTCAATCTCTGCCTCATACTTCAGGCTGTGCATGTTAGTCTCCACTTTAATCATGACTGAGGTACATGCACTGACACTTCCCGAGGGCAAAAGATCCTTCTCTCCAATGATCGCATTTATTAGAGAGCTCTTTCCAGCCCCGGATCTACCAAAGACACCAACCAGCTCCTTCTTGTCGGTCTTGAAATCTTTGATTTTAGTTCTGTTGCACAAGGAGTTTAAATGATTAGATTCAAGGTTCAAGGATTTTATTGTCAGTTCACCATATGTGCAGGACATACAGAAAATCGAAAATCTGTAATGCTGTTCCAAAATGAACAAATCTGTATATATACTTGTATATTTAGCAGACTCAACAGTGTAAACCCAGAATTTGGTTTTAATTAAACCTTTGATTGATCATTAATTATTCTTTTGTGTTTTGAAAAAAAATGTCATTACTAAATCAGATTTGTGGTTTGTACTACTCAGCCGAAATATAGAGATAACTCATTGTGTTAAGTCGAACAGGTCTGGGCACCATGAGCTCCAGGGGGAGGGGGGGTTCAGAACTCAAAATTACATTTTCACTCCAGACTTCTGGTGGACTGTGCACCAGAAAACATGATGACTGACATGATTGTCATTTCATGTTAATCTAACTGAAAATGTCTTTTTCAGACCACTAAACAGATAAGCTGAATGAATGAACTGTTAAGAGTTCACTCAACTTATTAAATCAAGTTTGTTAAGAAACAAATTTAGCATACTTCCCAGCATGCATTGTTGGAGAGTTAAACACTTCAGAAATTCTTCTGTTTGTATTTTGAGGAGTCCATTCACGGTGGACTCCTTTGGAGTTTGTAATATAGGCTATATCAAATAAAGTCATAGTTGTTTCTTTTAACAGTAATGAAAACAATAATAATAATAATAATAAACAGCATTTATATAGCACTTTACAATTCAGAAGGGCCCAAAGTGCTGCACAGTATAGACATATTTATCAACCAAAACAATATTAAACAGTCAACAAGATAATCATAGAACATAAACCAACATCTAGACAATACCATTTAGATTCATATAAAACAGATTAAAGATCAAAAGTCTGTTTAAAAAGGTGCCTTTTTAATGTGGATTTAAAAACCGCTTGCTCTGTGATAGACCGAATCTCAAGCGGAAACAAGTTCCAGAGTCTGGGGCCATATGCGGTCAATATGGGCATACCCGGGAGTGTTGGACAGAAGCCGAGCTGCCGCATTTTGGACCAGTTTAAGTTTCCTCAGCAACGACTGAGATATACTGTACCAACGTAAAGGGCATTACAATAGTCTAATCGCGAAGTAACAAAAGCATGGATTGCCTTTCCTTGGGATAAAAAAGGTTTAACTTTCGTTAACAGTCTGAGGTGAAAGAAACTGGTCTTGACAACAGCTATGATCTGCTTATCAAAATAAAAACCGGTGTCAAATATCACTCCCAGGTTTTTTACCATGTCTGTGAGTGCAGGGGCAGGGGCACATACACTGGATACACCTGCGGCTGGATCGGGTCGGGGTTGATAAAGATATATTCGGTCTTATTCTCATTTAAGTGAAGAAAATTGTCAGGTTTGCCTGGCTCCACCTACCTCTCTCACCTCCCTCACTCTTTTTCACTCCTTTTAGTCATCAGTCCCCCGCGGGTCTTCTTCGGCCGCTGACCACGCCTAGTCGGCCCTGGTCTCACATAACCCTAGACTTTGTCACTGGCCTGCCTCCCTCCCAAGGCAACACCATCATTCTCACCATCGTCGACCGTTTCTCCAAAGCCGTTCATTTCCTCGCCCTTCAACAACTCCCCACTGCACTAGACACCGCCCAGCTCCTGGTTCAGCACGTTTTTCGCATTCACGGCACCCCCATCACTATTGTTTTTGACTGTGGTCTGCAATTCACCTATCACGTCTGATCTGCTTTTTACACTGCCCTCGGAGCACGTCCCTGTCTCTCTTCCGGCTATCACCCCCAAACCAACGGCCAAGCTGAACGGTTAAACCAGGAGCTGGAAAATGCACTCTGTTGTGTTACCAATTCCTCACCTGAGGACTGGAGCCAGTTGTTGCCCTGGGTGGAATACGTCCATAATACCCTCTCTAGCTCTGCCACTGGTGTCTCTCCCTTCCAGGCATCCCTAGGTTACCAGCCGCCCCTTCTGTCCTCTGCCGAAACCGACATTGCTGTCCCCTCAGTCCAAGCTCACATCACCCATTGTTAGACCATCTGGGCTGAGACCAGGGCCGCTCTGTTACGGACTGCGGACCAAAATAAACAGCTTGCTGGTTGCTTCCGTCGGGCCGCTCCCACCTATCCAGTTGGGCAACAGGTGTGGCTCTCCTCCAGTCATGTACCCATAAAAGGAGCATGCCTCAAACTGCCGCCTTGGTTCCTAGGGCTGTTCACCATCCCGGAGATCATTCATTCCACTGCTGTCAAACTCCAACTACCTGATTCCCTCCGCATTCACCCTGTTTTTCATGTCTCACAGGTCAAACCGGTCTCCTCCAGTCCCCTCTGTCCACCAGTGTCTCCGCCTCCTCCAGCCCTGGAGGTGGACGGTGGCCCAGTGTACACCGTCAGGCAGATCCTGGATGTCTGCCCTAGGGGACGGGGTTTTCAATATCTGGTGGACTGGGAAGATTATGGTCCGGAGTAGCGGTCCTGGACTCCCCGCTCCTTTAACATTCAGGATGGTGTTAAATCCCCTGCAGCCTGTCTGTCTGGAAGCAACGGTTGAACGATGTAATAAGTTTTTAGTTTATTTTAATGAGAAGGTTGCTACTACAAAGGCCAATGTGGTAGGGTGGCTTCGGTCTTTACTCCTTGTTTGACTACTTTTGATGTTTTTGAGCCGGTAACTCTGACTTTTTTGGAGGGAGTGGTTGCCCGGACCAAGCCATCTGGCTCCCCTCGAGATGTCGTTGCTCCGGCTTTATTTAAGGAAGTCTTCCCATGTATTGGAGGCACGGTTTTGGAAATTATTAATAGTAGTTTATCTTCTGGTGTTGTGCCTGGTTATTTTAAGCATGCAGTTTTGCAACCTCTACTCAAAAAGCCACGTCTGGATCAATCCATGTTGAATAATTTTAGGCCTATTTCTAAGTTACACATGGGGTCTTTTTTCACTGCTATGCTGACGATGTCCAGATTATTATGCCACTGAGTAAGAAGGACACCTACTCGATCCAACCACTTTTAGCATGTCTTGCCGATATTAAGGGCTGGATGTCGTTAAACTGTTTGAAGTTAAATGACGCTAAAACTGAGGTTATAGTGTTTGGCCAGAATACGTCTGGCGACCCTCTTCCTGTAGGCTTAGGCTTCTTGGGGCAGTATGTGCGACCGGTGGTCACTGATTTAGATGTTAAAATAGACTCCAATTTGTAATGGAGAGCCAGATAAATGCGGTCGTAAAATCTGGATTTTTCTATTTAAGGCAGTTAGTGAAACTAAAACCCTTTTTGTTGCAGCAGCATTTGGAGACAGTGATCCATGCGTTTGTTACATCACATATGGATTACTGTAATGCACTGTATGCTGGAGTTAGTCAATCGGGTCTTGCCTGCCTCCAGAGGGTCCAGAATGCTGCCGCTCGGTTATTGGTTGGGGGGCGTAAGAGG